TGCACTTCAGCCGACATGAAATGAATTTGAGAGCTATTCCCGCCAGTCTCGACACCCCCGGCTGCTATTTGCAACCCGATGTCGACGGGTGTAGCTATGATGGTCGACAACAGACCAACGCCCTCGCCCCGAGTCCAATACTGACGGTTACAAGCACTGTTTGATCTCACTTATCTGTCGCATACGAAATCCGTCCATGGTTTCTAGTGTTTCGGCCACTTCGTCTATGGTGAGATACAATCCCATCTTTATATATTGATATAAGTAATGAAATATTATTTAATTGGTTTTCCGTCAATTTCTTGTCCGTATATTTTACTTATTTTATTTCATATGTTCGTGTAAATACAAAGTACTTTGTGAAATGAGAGACGATAAACCATGAAAAGCCTTGATCCCTGCAAGGCTTGTGAAGGGAGGTGTCCCTGGTCATACATAAATACGACAACGTCCAAGTACACTGTTACCACTACAACGTATTTTAAACCCATCCAGAATTTTAACATCTTCTGCGGGGAGGTGGGGGGTGGGGGGTAAAAAGATAGATTTCTATAATAAGTGTAGAACCTTGTACAACATTTCTCCACGTTCATGGGACTTGACACTGTTTATTAAAACGGAAAGTTAACGCTGTGTTTTCCCGGTAGACGGATAACATATTGCTTGTTTCGCCTCAATATGTTGTACTTACGTATGTCGTCTTCTTTTTTCAGTTACTAAAGTACCAAGTAGAAGCCGACTTTGCCAACTTGGGCATAGACAAGGACGATTACTTGCACGTGACAAACGTGTGGGATAAACTGGGCTGCAAGACTTTGGGCGACTACCATGATCTCTGGGATGCCTTGTTGAAAAAGATTTGCATGGATTTGTAACTGCTGACCGACTACGACATGCACCTGTTCGTTGAGAAAGGTCTGAGAGGTGGGATTTTGATGTCCGCCAGGTGCTACGCAAAAGCCAAGAACAAGTACGTCGATGGCTATGACTCAAGCCGACCAGCCAAACACATGTACATACTCTACCTCGACGTCAACAACCTGTACGGCTTGGGCTTGAGCCAAACTCTACCCGCCTGCGGATTCAAGTGGGTAACCGACATGCAGATCGGCGACGTCACGAGAATCGCTCCAGATTCCAACGTCGCCTACATACTCGAAGTCGACTTGGACCATCCCACCGAGTTGCATCGGCAACATATAACAGCTACCCGCTGGCTCCCGAGAGGTTGTCAGTGAACCGAGACTGGCTGTCTGACTACCAGCGACACTTGCTGGGTGAAAAAGGCAAACAGGACGACATGCAAAAACTCGTGCCCAACTTCAACAAGAAAGAGTACATTGTGCACTACATAAACCTGCAGCTGTACACGTCTCTTGGAATGAAACTGACGAAAATACACTGAGCGCTACGATTCGATCAAAGACCGTGGATGGAGCCGTAAATCCGAATGAACATAGATCTGCGAAAACTGGTCACCTGCGATTTCGAAAAAAATCTGTACAAACTCATGGAAAATCTGCCAAAGCAAGTCAACGTCGAGCTGGTCCGAGCTCATGAGGACATACAAAACTCAGGAAGCTGAGAGCGAGCCTGGCATTCAACCAAAGCAGATATTCTCCAACGACTTGGCTGCACTACACATGAACAAAAGTCATCAAATTCATCTGGTCTGTTTACATGGGGATGTGCATCCTGGACTTGTCCAAACACCTGATGTACGACTTTTACTACAACGAATTCAAAACACAGTAAGGCCATCCGCTGCACAGCCGCTGCACAAAAAGGTGCTCATAAAGATGAAGGACGAATGCGCCGGAACGCCGATCGCGGAATACGTCGACCCGAGACCAAAACTGTATTCCATCAAGAAAGACGAAATCAGGAAGGCAAAAAGCATAAAAACAATATGTGGTGAAAAAACACATCAGGCACGATCGAGTCGAACACGCCCTTTCAGAGAAACGAACCTTCAAACACCAAATGAACATGCTGAGAAATGACAAGCATGCAATATAGGGAACCAACAAGAGATCACTGTCTCCAATGGACACCAAGACATGGATGGCCGACAACGGCATCATGACTTACTCGTACAGACACACACACACGTATTAAAACAACAAAACAATAATCAAATATGGAGAAAATTTACTGCAGCCCGCGCGCGGATACTGGAAGGCTGCAGTCGACAACCCAAAACTCGCCAAAGCCCCCAGAGACTCTGAAGACGTCGCCAAAGCTTCACTTAAAATACAAGCCTTGTGGCAAATCTACCTGCAGGCGCTGGTACATCCCGAGACATAAATTCGATATTTCAATACCCAATTGAGTGCATCAAGCCGGTCTCTTGTTTCTACCACAACACGTTGAGGCGCAAAATGCACAAGTATGCCCGGACCTATGTGGATGTTGCCAGTCGCTACAAAGAGGATGAACCATTGACAACGAAAGATTTGACCGAAATCACACTCGAACGCATATACAAACGCAGTCACTTAACATGGCCTGTTGCGCTGCAAGTCAACCTGGGATGCGAGTTCATGGGACCCATATCACAACTGCTGGCCAAGCACAAAGTCGAAGTAGGACGTGGTACAGCGGGAGCGCATCAAAGCCAAGCCATCGTCAAGAAATTTAATTGCACCTTGGCAGAGCGGCTATTCCACCACCAGTACTCCCACAATTTGATCAATCCTGAAAAACAATCAACAGAATGGGTTGCACGTTTGCCTCGAGTGGTGATGGCCATCAACAACAAAATCACCAGACTCGTGGGCAAAATACCAGTCGAAGCCATCAAAATGAAATCCATCATCGCCGAATCGTCTGCACCACATTGTGCCAAAATAGATCCACAGCTACCAGACCAGGTCAGCGTGAGGTATTTGTACCAGCCTGGTGAACACGACAGATATAGCGGAAAACATGCTACGGATCTGATATGGTCGCTGGAAACCTACAGCATAGACCGAGTCAATATCCGAGATGGACAAACCAACCTTTATTATCTCAGAGATGGGCCAGTCTATGGATTTGTCAGAGAAGAAATACAAGTTGTGCCTCGCGACACAGTGTAGCTTGACGAGTCACTTATCGATTGCCGTGGACAGTGAGAGAAAGAGACAGCCTGACTGATTTTCGTGAAATTTTGCATGGACGTCGAATGATGGTGGGGCCATCATTCACACCTATTTTTCACTCCTGCAGGGGCCGGAATTCGACAACAATAACGCTTATAGGGAACCTGGTCCCGTACTGTCATTCCCTATACTACTGTTTGTAATATGTGTAAATAATCCTGTCAATTGCAACAACAGACCAACCAAGATCATTTTCAAACCCTATTGAAACATGAGTCATGGTCGTTTCTATTTGTGATTTCAGACCTGTATGAAACTATACGCATAGAATTCATTCATTCAGTTATGAATACTTCATGTTATGACTGTAGTTTCCAAGTACATGTATGTCAATACATGCACTATTTCAAGCTATAAATGGCAGATAATACTCTGTCTCATTTTGACGGAACTTGCAGTATCAATGCCACGTGAAACGTGTTATGTTATACATAATCAGTACGGGATATATTTCGCTAGCCCGAGTAAATTGGGTCCCTAGAGTGGTGATCTACCTTCAGTTGTTGGCGATCCTCAGCCTTTTTATATATTGTATTGTCCTAATCTGAAATCCTAATTTAGTCATATATGCTTGTTTTATGTCTTGATATTGTGATATTCTAATCGGTTTTACTGTCTTTCGATGACAGTTTTTTATAATTTACCATAAATTACTATGTATAACAATTAATGTTCTCGTCACGATATGGCTGAAATATTGCCGATGTGAAGATGAATTATAACTCACTCACTTACCCGAGTAAATTGGTACAAAGAGGGTCTAAAACGTACTCGGAGTGCCAGTTATGACAAAGCTTCATTTCACTCAAACTCAACGAATATTGGATCAGTTTCTTCGCGGCATATTCCAACATGTCATTTAAAGTGCCCATTAAGGACACAAAAAGTTGTATTGACCTTAGAGTATAAATGACCTCACCACGTTTAAGTTTATATATGATTATCAAATTTTAGGGCGTGGCCATAATTTGTGTTTGTAGTATATATTATTCTTAAAGAAGGTAATGTATTGCGACATGAGTGTTAACATCTGTGCTGAATTCTAAAGGTAGGCCGTTGTTGGACATTCGTGTTCTTTGTATGTTTTGTCATAGCCTGTCATGCCGACTGCATATCAGCGGTGACATACTCGAGGGCGTTAATGGTTTAATACATGGACCCGCTGTATGTTGACGAACACGATTGTCAGCTGCGTTGGGTTTCTGTGTAAATATGCTTGTTTACTATCGCCGGAATATAAAGACCACATGTATAATACGTTTGGACAAAGTAGAATAAGTAGAGTGGCAAAATATGAAATTATTACGTTTAACACGTCTCAAAAACGTTAAAACTTGGTCATTATTGCCAAAATGGGTGTGTGAGTAGGATTTGGTTCACTGTACCCTTAAAAGTATTTAGGTTATATTACACCGCGTCAGTTTGATCTGGAGGAGGAAGGAAGTGTGTTGCAAGTCCATGAAGTATATAACTGCACATGCGCGTCATGTGTCACATGGTTAACCAAGACGTGCCTACCTGGACGCTGTTTATCTTGAATAACAATGACAAGACACATGCTTGCCTGTATTACACCTGAAGTTTCATTCAGACATAGCCCACCTTATTTGCTCATGTCAAATAACAAGCGAAACAACCAGTAAAATGCTGAATGCTCCAAATGAACGCATTGGGTATATGTGTTCATTGTAAAGCAACATGACCTCATGGAAAGGGGTGTATACAACAGTTTCAGTCATGTGACCTGAAAATGTCGTCATTATTCTATATTTAACGTAAGTTGTTGCACAACCGGATTGTCAATAGATAGCGGGAAGTGTAGTCCCTATGGCCAGTTTGCCTTCACGGATGGGTGGACTCTGTTGTCTGGTTTATAAGACGCATATACATAAGCCGTGCGGTTGTTCAGTTGAAGTCAGAGATAATTTCCTCATCTTAAGTGAAAGAGTTGGGGTGAATACGGCACTATGGCTGAGATAGCGATTGAAAGAATAGAGGATCAAAATCCTGGAGCTGCTCATGAAGAGGACCACTCTACAAAGACAAACCATCCATCACAACTAACAGAGCCGGTTCAACCATCAACCTTCCATCCACCACCACCATCTTACCAACCTCCACTGTCAACGCAGATGCTGTCGGAAGCGGGTCACGAAAATGTGACTAGTTTTGTTCTCGAGGCGGAAACAAATAACTGCGGGAATTCAGAGTTTCAGCGGGAACGTTGGACATCCAATGTAGAGTTTATTGCGTCAGTGCTAGCATTGAGCATTGACTATGGGACATTTACTGTACTTCCCTATTATAGCAGGAGATATTCAGGTAAATACAAAAGATAAATATATTATTTGATAATTACAATTGTTGATAATTTTACTGAAATCGTATTATGTTTAGTGTTTACCTCTGATTAGGTCCATAATTCAAAGAGAAATCCACTGAGTCACAGCTCATATGTGTTTGGAAATATGTAAGTAATCACATTTATGCCACAATCATCAATCACTGACGCTTTTAGTGTTTAGCTGTTGTTGGGACAAGAAATTATAAATAACCCACTTGAGAGTTTTGTAGAGCAATTTTCGTTTCGTCTTTGCTCTTGCGTTCGATTTGTAAACAAAACTGTGAAATGTTTTCCAGTTGCCTTCATGGCAGTCTACGCTGCCTTCTATTTCATCCTCGGAGTGCCCATCCTGTACATGGATCTGAGCCTTGGACAATTCAGTAGCAGAGGACCAGCCCACATCTGGAATTTGTGTCCACTGTTCAGAGGTAACTAAGAAGGCAAGACCCTTCTCTTTACCGAACGAAATCCTGCTACAAGCTGAGTCAACTGCATGACATCGACAATTTCAATATGTGTTTGTTACTCACTATCAAATTGTGCTATGTTATGTTAGGCGAGTGTATCATACTCCCTACTGGCGCCGTCATCAAAGCCAACTTGTCAGGGGCTACACTTTTATCAGGTCATGCATAATTGTAACGGCATTCCATTGTAAGACGCATACAATACAATTACGCATTTACCATACGACTGTTTAGTTATGGTCTTGGTGTCGGATACATCGAAATTTGGAATTGTATCGTATATGTGAAATGTCCTCCGAAAAGTCTACATTTAGAGCTGTACTCAAACATCCAAATGCTAAGTCGAGTTGCATTTAGTTACGTCTTGCAGTATAGATTCCGACAAAGTGACACCTTGGCCGCTTGTACCATCAGCCCGACACACACCTGCATGGGACCTTGGACCATCACACTCACGTGGAATATGTTAGACCTCACTTTCAAAAAGTATCCTCAGGTTAACCTCACGATAAAGCTGATATTCTACATGTAAGTCAGTTGCATATTACTGTTGCAGGAATAGGCGTTGGGATGATGGTTTACTCCGCCATATTACTTCCCGTAATCACTTTGTTTTCATCGTGGTCTCTGTACTACGTGGTTCAGTCGTTCTCCCCCATGCTGCCCTGGTCGAACTGCAACAACGCATGGAACACGCCAACATGTTTCAATAGTACCAGAGCTGGCCCGGGTGTACAATACTTGAAGTAAGTGACCTAAACTTGAATACACATGAACCTGAGTTAGGTCAGACCAGAACGAGAAGGCAGTCATATTATCAACATCATATGGAAATAGACCTCACAGACGGAACTGCATTACACGCATAGCAGTACTAAATCTGACCGGAGGAGGAAAATATTGTTACAAGATTTTGAAACCGGGAAATGTTTACTTTCCTGATTAGTATCATAACTGTAAATTGAAACCTCCGGCTTGTCCCGTCTGTCACACATGCAGGTTTGGGATACAGAATACTGAATAACACCGGCTCAGAACACATACTGTTTATTACCAAAGATATTTGAAAATGACCATACCTCCATTTAACTCCGTCTCGTTCGGATATAACTGTAAGTATATCTGTAAACAAGTCACCCACCATTGAAAATATTAAATGCAATACGTACACAATATTGCTTCTTAGTTGAAGACAAGTTAGTGTATGAAACGAAATGAATGCATAATATGTGTGCAGTTCATTACAAGTCGTGGTATCTCAATGAAAAGAACCAGCAGTGATTCCAGGGAGTGAATGTTGAGGTCACCATTTGCTTAGGGACAAGCCTCTAAGATTCCCTGTGTAGAGTTACATTCCTTAGTAGTGCCCGGATCCAATCATCGCAGATACGTCCTGATTCTGATTCTGGCTTTGCCAGGACAATATCCGTGTTTGTGGGTTGCACAAACGTCAAAACTGTCTTTGACTTGAAGCACATTATGCTTCAATGCTTCATAGCAGTAAGAACGCCTGTGACATGTGATACATAGTGATTAATACAGCGTTAATTCTAAAGCACTGATTACGGGAAATATCTACAATGGTATACTCTGAAGCAGAATTTCCAGGATCAAGCATTGTGACAAATGATACCAATGTTCCTACGTTTACAGCAAAAGAGTTCTGCAGGTGTCTGAATCCTCCGGACTAGACGACATGGGAGGTCTCCAGTGGGAGCTAGTTGGCTGTTGTGCTGGCTTGTCAGTTGTAGTCTTCTTTGCTTTGTTTTGGGGAGTAAAGGTTCTTGGGAAGGTTTGTATGCTTACTGTTCATTCTGTAGATAATAAAATATATTTTAATGTAAAATATACTTTAATTCTTTCTTCTGCCTTCTATATCCGTCCTTCTGTGTGAATATTAACTGGGTAAAGCAACTCAACCATTAAGGTATGAATGTTGGTATTAGAGGTAGCTTTGTAACGCTGAAGTGTTTTTGTTTGTATTTTCATGCAGGTTTTCTGCATCACCATGTCACTGATGTTTGTATTGGCACTGGTTCTGTTCATCAAAGCAATGACGCTTCCTGGATCCTCAGATGGATTAGCATATCTTTTTACACTGAACTTTGGAGCAGATCTTACAAGGAAACATGTAAGTTTAAACATAGTATTTGTAACGCTTTAGAATGCACCGTTAAACATCCTGAGACGAAAATATTTTGCGTGGTTATTTTATTTTCAATATTTTTAGGAAAAAGGATTCTTATACAGATGATAGTATATGTGTTTATCGTTTGTTGGAGGCACACACTTTTTTCATGCTCAGTTATCAACTCACTTTGCTGAAAAGTCAAGTCTGCTAATAACATCGTCTTGTTTTTTTCCATGCGTTTATGTCTTACAAATATTACTTCCAATTATGACCACTGGAACTTTGATGGCAACTTCTCATCACTAATGAGACAGAAATACATGCAAGACGTCCGAATATATTAAGATATTTTGTAAATATCCAGACATGTTCTTTTGCAATGCAATGACACTCGATATTTCTATGACAACTTGCAGTTGTATGCATTGATTGGAGCTCACGAACATGTTTTATAAACTTATATTGTATCACAATATGTCCTGGTTTTAAGACTTTCCAATTTGGCATACGTGTTCCTTTTATTGATAACATTGTTCAGTTATTATATATGTTGTTTTAATCGTAATTTCTTTTTTTTGTGCTGAATATTTTCCCTTCATAACAATCGATGTCCAACTTCAAGTCCGTACATAATACATGAGCAAAGTCCAGGTATAAGCTTTACAAACGTTTAACAATTATCGTATGTTTGGGAAAGTTGATCTCTACCATTTCTGGCAGGGAATGGTAGAGAAAGGGTCTGACTAAGGTTATTCCAAAGTAAGATAATACGACAGAGGTGTTACAATGTTGTGATACATTGGGAATACATGCTTATAATATATTAGGAATCGGACAATGGCATCTACTTTTCGCACCTTTTTTATGTCGTTATTTTTCCAACTTTGAAGCCGTGTGTGTAACATGAATAAAATAACATGAGGAGTAAGCTTAAGATACTGTGTTTCCACCTTTCCCTGGAGGGATGCATGGAAAGATTCGATTCAGGTTACTCAAAATCCATGGTCATCACTCGGATTACAAACCAACGAAGATACAATTATGTTTTATAGGGATACATCAATTTACACATGCTTACGATATAGTCGGCATTGTACATCGAAATATCCTTTTGGCTCAGATTCCTTAGAATTAATAAATAGTTTTGTTAGCATTTAATAATCACCATTATCCATATATTCTCCATGTACACTGTATCCGGTAACCCTACCCATTCCGCACACAAGAACTACAAACTTTACCTGAGCGTGTTTTCTTTTTTCTGTTTTCGTGATACCACAATCTAACATATAGTCTGTTCTATTCAAGTATGTGGTGCTAGGCATTATGTTACAAATATATCATACCATTTCAGGTGTGGCTCTATGCCTTCTTACGGGCCATGTTCCACTTTGGGATGACATCGGGTCTCGTTAACAATCTTGCAAGCTACAGACACTTCAAATCCTCTGCGTTAAGGTGACTAGAATTTGACAAGTTTTCTCTTTGATCATCTGACACTTGGGCGGTGGGGGTAGCCTAGTGGTAAATCGTTCGCAAATCACCCCGAAAACCGAGGTTCGATTCTCCACGTGGGTAGAATGTGTGTAGCCCATTGCGGAAATATTGCTAAATGAGGCGTAAAACCATACTCACTCATCTAAGACTATGTCCAAAAGTATAAAAGAAAACGTAGATTGTGGATAACCCTTATTTGACACAATGATTGCTGTTTCAGGGACTCCGTGATAATATGCAGTGTCGGTGCTGTTGGTCGTTTGCTCGCAGCCTTGATGATGATGAGCCTCACCGGGGCTCTGGACAACACAAAACAATCGTCGATATACGATGTCTCAATTACAGGTATATTTCGTACAAATATTTAGAGTGTCTTTCCCTTTACTTACTTTTTCATTTTAATCAAGAAATATATACTAACGGAGAATATTCACTGACAAGCCTCACACTCACACACAGGACAGAGAGTGACACGTTCTAAATGAGATGTAGTCGAACCACTAAAACCCAACATTCAACCATTCAATCTACATTTGTCGCCTCTTACAAAAATTCACCTGGGCAAATCGGGGTCAGAATTAATCTCCAGCAACCCATGCTTGTCATAAGAGACGACTAACGGGATCGGTGATAAGGGTTCACTGACACATGTCATGGTATCCCACGAGTGTGAAGATCGATACTCATAATATTAACAAATGGCTTGTCTGGTCCATATAGCTGGAATATTGCTCACTGCCACGTTAAACAACTTGCGAACTAACAAACAAAATGTATCACGTTCACTTTTGTATAAAAGTAATCAATTCATGTTAGCAGAGATTAAAGTTCTCAAGATTAAGAAAGTTTTCTGTTCACATGCAAGGATAAACATTTTTACTGACAGTAAGAAATGGAGAGCTGATCATAAACATGTTCTATTCTGTCTTTCGGAGGCTAATCATATGACTCCTTCCACAGTCCTGATCACAGATTCATGAATAATATTTTCCTACGCCACCTTAGGACAGTTTTGACAACATTATCGAGAATGATGACAATCTGATCTTAGAAAACTTGCAGCTATTCCTCATGTTAACAGGCATAGTAAGAGCACATGAGTATATCCCGGAGCTGTTTCCTCATCTCCCTGCGTCCCAGTTCTGGAGTTTTGCTTACTTCTGCATTCTTCTTCTTGTCGGGTTGAATTCTCAGGTAAATGTCAACAACATTAAACCAAATTTTATATACGTATACGCACCTTAATTTGGTCATTGGTCTACGCCAAGAAATTATTTTGTTCGGTGTTGGACCAATAATGATGGTATACATATATACGGAAATGGGTGATACGTTCCAGGATGAGTATGTTCTGTTATGTTGTTTATGAAAATATGAAAATCTCCTGTTTCAGTTTGTATATGCAGACATGATCATCACAGCTGTAGTTGACAGCCTGCCACGCCGATCTCGCAAGATAAGAATCATGGTTACTGTGGTTACCTGCATGGCAACCCTCCTAATTACGCTTCCATATTTGGCAAAAGTAAGACCTCTGATATATACTTACGTATGGATCGCATAGAATCTGTATTATTTATACATATTTATATATTTCAATTTTAAGATATATACTTAGGTATGGATGGCATAGAATCTGTATTATTTATACATATTTATATATTTCAATTTTAAGTATATACATACATATGGATGGCATAGAATCTGTATTATTTATACATATCTATATATTTCAATGTTAAGATATATACTTACGTATGGATGGCATAGAATCTGTATTATTTATATATTATATATTTCAATTTTATATTGTATGTTATTGTATAATATATAGAAAAGTATCTATGTAAGTGTGTATGTGTGAGTGTGTGTCTTAAACAATATAGTTCCATGTTCGTTATGTGAATGATATATGTGTAACTGACACGTATTTGTTTGCAGGGAGGGGTTATTTTGATGAGACTGGTTGACACTTACATAATTTATGTGTCAATCTATATTCTTGGTATCCTACAGTTCCTTACAGTTGGATGGATTTATGGTATGGTACAGCGAGTTATCACATTCTTCTTGTTAAATACACATAGAAGACGACATTTTCTAATATTTGGCCTGTGTGTGCAATTCATTATGCTGAGGGAAACCATTCCAATCCCACTTCGAATTCTAAGGATTCATATTTGGTATCCATTCTTCACTATTGCTGAAACATTCATCATTTGAAGGCAGGCAGTTGTTCTGTAAAGGTCTTTACATGACACATGAACCACGTCGTAGATTTCTATATTCGAGTTATAAGCATCATGAAACATTGTTCTGTGTATATCGGTCTGTTGCATCACATCATTGTATTATTTATATCCATATCAACCTTATCCACATTTTCAGGCATGGGTCGGCTGGGCAGAGATATTGAGATGATGACTGGCACTCCACCTCCGATAGTCATCAAGTTTATCTGGTGTTTCATCCTTCCGCCCGTCTTGCTGGTAATGATATTTCTCGATAAATGGTATCTTGAGATAAATGATACATCACCATAAGTACCACAACTCTAATTGTTTCTTCCAGATTTTCCTGGTGTTATTCTTCATCGATTACACCCCTCCAAATTACACTTTGGATTCAAGGGCGATCGACTATCCAGTGTGGGCCCACGTACTGGGGTGGTTCATAGCACTGGTTCCACTGGCACCAGTACCCGTGTTTGCATTGCTGGCACTTGTCACTTCCTCTCAGGTAATGATTCTGTCTTGAATGAAGCTACGTGAGCTTGAGTGATTAACTCAATCAATTTGAGTCTTCGTGTAGGCGGCTTGGAGATGCGACATAGTACGTGCTTTGTTTAGAAATATTCTAAGCCAAATGAGATACAAGAAGTCACATTCCACCGAACAAACTTGAACAGCGAAAACCGGATATTTCCCTAACCTATTTGGTGTGCCCACTTTCCTCAGACATTTTTAATACCATTGTCCACTTGGCCTTAGTACACAGATATCTGTGGAACACTTTTGCTAGAGCTGTTTTCCAACTATTCTTTTATGATATCTTCTTAAACTTCCTTCATTGACAAAGTTGAAATCACAGTACATGGTACTTGAACAGAGTGTTTGCTTTGCAAAGGAGATTCTTTGACAGCAATGTCCTGGAAGTTAGATGGAATGATTAACCTAAAACATGTATAGAGGATATGTCACAAACAGGTACTCTTATTTTGATATGACATGGATCTATCTAATTTGTATGGGATTTTTCTGTTTGTTTGTTTGTTTTATTTTGGTGTTTGTTGTTGTTGGTTTTGCAAAACTATTCTTCTGGTGACACTTCAGTACCAAATGTAACTAGTGTGCTTGTTGGGTTTCTTTTCAGCATTTGTTAAGCCCGCGACCAGAATGGGGGGCCGACTGAAGATAGCTACAAGAGGCAATATGACAGTCAGCGCCAGTACAATGTAACACTGACTGAGAGAATCACCTCAATATTCACGAACTGATGTCACCGTACCGTGTCTCCCTTATCTTCATTAAAGACAAGGCGCACAAAAAGCTATAGATCAAACTTCAAGAATTTGTAATTCTTAATTAAACCTATGATTTTTGTTAAATGCATATACTTGTTATGTTCAACATTATCAGCAAATGTCACTGGATTGCCTTTTCTCTTGGTTGTCTACTTAAAACTCAGTTGTTTAAAAGTCCAGTGTTACTGTGCGCTCCCTGGCGTCAAAACAATATGAACATTACAAATTGTGCGAGCGGCATTTGCTACCGGTAAGCATGACATGTGTACCCTTTTCGTGAATACCTGATGCTATAACTGAGTTTTTGGTGATCTATTTGCATTGTCGCCGTTTAAGACGAACATGAGTTAATGATGGATCGGTCAAGTTACAAGGGGGAGGAGTTATTGAGCATCTTATGGAAGATCAGGCCTACACCTATCTTGGAATGCAAGAACATGCCTGTGGCTTTGACTCCGAGGTCCATCCATGGTACGACCCTGAACATGTCCAGGGCGTCATGGAAAATGATGCTTTCAAACTTCTCTGGAATAGGCCCCTATACAGCCTGAGGAGAATTCCAGCCAACAAACCTGATCTTGTCCTTTTTGATAAAGCCAATAAATGTATATATATCATTGAACTTTCTGTCCCTTTTGACACCAGTGTGATTGGCAAGATTCAGGAAAAGCATACTAAGTATGCGGACCTCGCCTTTGAAATGTCTCGCTTGCATCTCAAGTACACTGTCGTAAGGCTCCCCATTGTTCTCGGTACCCTTGGTTTGGTCCCTCCTGATCTCTTGGCGCAGATCAGGAGAGTGCCCGGGTTCTCCACCGGGAGCACAGCCCTTCTGACACTCTGGGTAATGCAGTGTTGGGGAGCCTTCATATTCTCCGGAAAGTTCTTGGTGGGTTCGACTAGGCAGTATTTCCTTGGAGAAGTCCCATTCGCTGTCTGGGCTGCGTGTAGAAGGGGCAAGGGCCCTGAGCTGATGATGGGCTTTACCAGCCTGACTGTGCCAGGATCACCCGAACCCTCTCTGCTGCATACTATCTTAAATCTGTAAAACATAATAATACTTTTCCCAAAAATGAAATCAATTTATTAAATGATATTATTTCTATGAAACTTTCATGGGACTGTTCATTACATGAAGTTATTTGTTGTGTCTATGCTGCCGCTCGAACCTTGGAGGAAATTCACCCAGTTTCCAAAGAAAAACATCTAATATAATAATAATAAGTCCATTTATATAGCGCCCTATATCCAATCACCAAGTGGTTGCTCATGGCGCTGACATATATACATATTTACAACAGGAGTTAATTTATATGTCAAAGTGCTTCTTGAACAGGAACGTTTTTAAGTTAGAATGCAAGCTGGCTATTGAGGGGGATTCTTTGAGAGACACATGCATATTGTTCCAGAGGATAGCTGACAAGTAGGAAAAACGTCGATGTCCGTATGTCTTCAGACGTGCATTTGGGACGATGAGCAGCAACTGATGGCTGATCTAAGAGTCCAAGTTGGAACATACTCTCTGACAAGACTAGAGAGATAGGATGGAGCTGCATTGTTAAGACATCTATACGTCATGTTAAGTATCTTGTATTCTATCCTGACTGGGAGTGGTAACCAGTGCAGACGCATGAGGATTGGGGAGGTGTGGCTGTGTTTGGTGGTTCTGCAGATCAATCTGGCAGCTGCATTTTGGACTTTTTGCAACCTGGAGAGCAGGTCTTTGTTCATGTTCCCAAGTAAACTGTTGCAGTATTCCAAGCGGGACAACACCATAGATCTTAATAGAGAGTGTGTTGCGTCAGCTGTTAATAGGTGGTGTATGCTAGAGATATTCCTCATGTGGTGATAACAGATCTTACATACGTTACTGACGTGTGGCTCCATGGTAAGTGTGGAGTCGATCAGGATACCCAGGTTTTTGACTGTTGGACTCACAGAGATCCGAGATTCGCCTGAGTTCACACTCAGTTTAGGTCAGTTGACTGGTGAACAAGCCATGAGAATGTCTGTTTTTTATCGTTTAGTTTGAGTTTACTTTGAGTCATCCATGTTTTCACATTCCCTACACACACTTCAACTTCTGCAATTTGTGATTTTGCATCATTAACATTGAGTTTTCTCAAGAGTTGAGTACCATCAGCATAACAATGATGTAAGATTTTATGCCGAGTAATAAGGTCCCCAAGACTACTGGTGTAGAGAGTGAATATCATCGGTCCCAATACGGAACCTTGCGGAGCACCACAAGAAAGGCTGCGTGTCTGAGATCTAATATTTTGTATGAGCACAAACTGAGATCGATCAGATAGATATGAGGAAAACTATTATAGAAGAGAGTCGCCTAATCCAAAACGGTTTTGTAGACAATCAAGAAGATGTTTGTGATCTATCGCATCGAACGCTGGCGATAAATCAAGAAGGACAAGTACACAAGCCTGGCCAGAGTCTACCGCTCCAAGTAGCGTGTTCATCACATGAAGTAAAGTTGTTTCAGTGCTGTGATTGCTCCGATACGCTGACTGGAATTCATCATATAGACTGTGGATTTTCAAATGAGCAGTAAGGCGAGTCTTTACAGCCTTTTCCAGCACCTTGGACACAAAGGATAGATTTGAGACGGGTCGGTAATTGGCCAAATCATCAGTGTCAAGGCTTGCTTTTTTCAATAAAGGCTTCACAGTAGCTTGCTTCAGGCCTTCTGGAAAGTGTCCTGAGACCAAGCTGAGATTTACGATCTGTGTAATGACCGGAAGGAGAACATTCACAAACTCTAGCATGAATCTGGTAGGGATGGAATCCATCACACAGAAGGTTGGTTTTGAAGCTACTATCAGTTTCTTTACCTTTTCCTAACTGAATACATCAAATTTCTCAAGATGCATATCTGAGGTTGCAATGTCGCCTTGTAGAGACTCAGACAGTTCACACCTGTCAAGATTTGAACGGATCATTGCTAT